TCTTTGTCGGAAACGACTTCTTGCCCCACCTCCCCTCGCTCGAAATCCGCGACGGCGCCATCGACACGCTGCTCAAGATCTGGAAGAAGGAGCTCCCCGCCATGGGCGGCTACCTCACCAACCACGGCAAGGTCGAGCTCGCACGCGCACAGCTCATCCTCAACGGCCTCGCTTCCCAGGAAGACGAAATCTTCCGCCGCCGCAAGGAGGAAGAGGACCGTCGGGAGAACAACAAGAAGCGTCGCGAAGACATGCAGAAGCGCCGCGAGAAGGAGCTCGACGAGGGAAACTTTGGCAACGGCTCCATGGTCCAGGTCATGCAGAAGAAGCGTCCTGCCAACGAGACCGAGAAGCCCGCCTTCAACGGCGTCTCGGCCAAGGATGCACGAGACCAGGCCAACAGCAACAACAAGTCGTACGATCCGCGCAACAAGGCCGTCGTGCTGGGCGGAGACAACAACCAGGTCGTTCGCGACCGCAACGCCGCCAGACAAGCCAACATCGACGCCGCCGAGGCGCTCAAGGCCGAGCTCATGGGGACAGACGCCTCTGCAAAGCCTGAGGACGAGTCAGAGTCGCAGCCCCCCGTCAAAAAGGTCAAGACCGAAGCAGGCGCCGAAGCTGCCGTCGACGCTCCTCAACAGCCGAGCTGTGAAGAGAAAGCCTCGGACGAGGCTGGCGCTTCGGCAGGCACCAAACGCAAGGCCGATGACGTCGATGCCGCTGCCACCGATGCGGATGCGGTGACAGCCGACGATGCCCAAGTCAAAGCCGAGGATGACGCCGAAGCCAAGGGCGAAGATGACGAAGCCGATGACGACGACGAGGAAGACGACGTTGGCAACGAGGACGTCGACCCCGTCACCACCATCAAGAAGCGCAAGGTCAACGCAGACGGCACCGTCGACTACGAGGACACGGTCAAGATGTGGGAGCCGGGCTACCGCGAGCGCTACTACCGCGAGAAGTTCGGCGTGGATCTCTCCGACACCGACTTCCGCCGCCAGGTGGTCAAGTCGTACATCGAGGGTCTCTCCTGGGTGCTCGCCTACTACTACCAGGGCGTGCCCTCGTGGCAGTGGTACTACCCCTTCCACTTTTCGCCCTTTGCCGCCGACTTTGAGGACCTCGAATCGCTCGACATCAAGTTTGAGCTCGGCGCGCCGTTCAAGCCGTTCGAGCAGCTCATGGGTGTGCTTCCCGCCGACTCGCGTGCGTCGATCCCGCCGGCGTTCCATCCGCTCATGACCGAGTCCGACTCGGACATCATCGACTTCTACCCGAGCGAGTTCGAGATCGACATGAACGGCAAGAAGATGGCGTGGCAGGGTGTGGCGCTGCTGCCGTTCATCGACGAGAAGCGGCTGCTGGACGCGCTGTCGGACAAGTACCCGCTGCTCACCGACGACGAGGTGCGCCGCAACGGCTTTGGCAACAACACGCTGTTTGTCGGCGACGAATCGAGGCTGTACGAGTTCCTCTGCGAGCAGATCTACGCCAAGAAGCGCGACGGCGACGACAAGCCGTTCGAGCCCGTGCCGATGAATCCGGCGCTGAGTGGCGGCATCACGGGCTCGGTCAAGCCCGACCCCGTGTGCGTGCCCGGCTCGACGTTCAACTCGCCGCTGACGAGCCAGGACCTCAAGGACATCCACAACGATCGCTCCATCTCGGTGCTTTACGACTTCCCCGAGCAGAAGACGCCGCACCGCTCGGTGCTGCTCAAGGGGCTCAAGCCGCCCAAGCGCGTCCTCTCCGCCGCCGAGATCGACTGGGTCAAGCGCGGCAGTCCCGACACGCGCGGACGCGGGCGCGGTCGAGGCGGTCACTCTGGCGGGCCCGGTCGCGACTTTCACCGCAACGGCGCCAACCAGAACGGCAACAACGCGGCCTACAACGATGCACCCCATCAGGGCGCCAACAACGGCTTCCGCAACGGCGCAGGCGGCGCGGGTGGCTACGGCGGCGCATACGCCCAGCAGGGATACCAGCAAGACTATGGACATTACGGCGCCAGCAACGGCTACGGCGGCAGTGGAGGTGGCTATGGCGGCTACGGCGCTGCGGGTTACGGTGGCCAGGGCGGCGCGTACGGCGGAGGCTATGGCGGAGGCTATGGCGGCTATGGCTCTGGTGGCAGCGGCGGTGGCTACGGCGGAAGCGGCGGCTATGATGCGTATGCCGGATACAGTGGTGGTGGGGGCGGCGGATACGGGGGCGGCTATGGAGGGTACGCACCGAGTGCGCCTGCCAACGCACCGACCGGGCCGAGGAGGGACGACCGATACGCAGCATACACCGCGCACGACGGCTACGGCGGGGGCCGTGGTGGCGGCGCTCGAGGTGGTGGGCGCCACGGTAATGCCGGTGGTGCGCCGGCCGCCTATGCGGGTCTGCCCAGTCTGGGCG